TGGATGCGACTAGACACGGTGAATGGGGAGATCACCTTACTCTTCAAGCTGCTGCAGATCGTGTAAGTTTTAACAAAGATCATCTTTTTGAGTTTACTATAAGACTACAACAGTTTATAAAGAAACCTCATAGATTCTGTTTTCTGGCTGCATTTTGAGGAATCATCACAATTGTCATCTTTTATTTTCTCACGTTTTTGGTTCTGTTTTACTTTGAATGACTGGCTGCTGACTTCAGCATCATTCTGTAGTTCGAAGCCAAGATCTGCTTAGTCACATCATTTCGAGAACAATCCTACATTGAGATACTTCCTCATAACAAGAACCCTCTTAGAGGTACAAAGCCTCTCTCTTTCTCTGCCTTTTAAGCCAACTTCACTCTCCGTCCTAACCATCTTGAATCCTTTTTGCTCTTGTGCAGAGGCTTGGCTTAGCTTCTGGAGCGAAGTGCATTACAATTCGTTATATTCTAGTGGAGGTAAAAACTCAAAACTTTTGCATTTAACTCTGCTTTTGAAGTCACTAATCATCATCTCCATGGCTTCTCTGAATCTCAAATCTCCATTTGTTTCTGAATTAGTAGCTCTTGCTCTTCCAGATGTTCCCACAAGAAAACCCAGAAAGAAGCATTGGCTCTTCTAGGATTTGGATTTTAAAAAGGCTCTTCTCCATTACAATGTTGTATGTATACTACCTTCCTCTGATTGTGTATAAACTTTGTTCATCATATATTGGTTCAGCTTCAACACTTTCATTTTCAAAACAATGAGTAAACATAGATATGTTATTTACATATGTTTTTTTGTAATCATCTATATATTCTGAATCGTGACGAAAATGCAAATAGCAAACAAACAAACTCTCAGCATTTTGGACTGGAAATTCTTAATTCAGAATGTGGACCATACTGAGATCAATATGAACCGACCGGATGAAATACATTCACATGGACCAAGTAACGTGTCGTGGAGGGAGATTTATACAAAGTCTATTTTCATTCAATATTTTAAAATTTTACTTGGTTGAGTTTGGAACAAGTAAAGCAATGGCCTTCAAGAATATTAAAAGAATCAGGGCCTGACTGGTTTAACCGCTGCGGTTGCGGTTGCGGGTGCGGGAGTTTGCGGAAGCGGGCGGTTGTGATTAGTAGCGTTATTAAGCGGTTTGAACGACTGGCATAACAATTGAAAATTGATGCGTTTGCGGGTTACTTATGACTGGTTCACTTGCGGATGCAATAGCGGTTAAACAATAAATTAATAATGTAAACACATTATATAATTATAAAAAAAAAATCAAAACTATATTATAATGAAAATTTTAAAATTTATGGTTCAACATAATAAAAAAAAATATATAAAGAATAATATGTATATAATACTTACATCTATCTTTTAATTTCTATAATTTAAATAAAAAAATGTGATTTTAATTTCAAAATATATATTTAATGTGAAATTTAAATTTATATTACAATTTTATTTATTAGATATATATGTATTAGTATGAAAGAATATTTATCATGAGAATTTTGATTTGTAGAGCTTATAAATATATAAGTATTATATGATTTTAATGAATATTGACTAAAAGTACTAATTTTTTATTTATATTGTGATTTTATTATCCAAATCCTATTTTTTAATAAATATTATTATTTATTTTCGGATTTTATATAAGTTTGTGTTTTTTTTTTTTTTAGTTATCCACCCGCAACCGCAAACGCTTGCGGAAAGGAGCTTTTGATTTTCAGCGGTATTGAGCGGTACAGAGTGGTATAGAGCGATTCAAAGCGGTTGTCGTGATTGTTATAAACCGCCGAAAACCGCTATGAACCGCAAACGCTGCGTTTGCGGGTGATAGCGGGAGAACCAATCAGGCCCTCAGTCGGATCGGACAGAACGCATCTTTTGTTGCTTTGACTCATAGAAGCATCATTATTTACCCAATGGATATCAGGTGTTCTCTGTATAATCTCTCGGGTTCGATTCGTAGAGAATGCAACTTTTTGCTCTAGTAAGTAGTAACTAGTGAGCCAACTGTTGGATGTTGTAAAATTAAAAAAAAAAAATCAAAAAATTCGCAAATTAAGACATTTTTTTCTTCAGAATAAAGCAAATCTATGGATTTTAGCTTTTTTTTTTAATATAGTAATAAATCATCCTTAATTATATTCATCAATAGTTGGATATCAAAATTAAAAATCTTGAGAAATCTTAAGCAACAAAAGTTTATAATCCAATAATTTCTTTCTAACATCAATAGTAATATATGTAGATTTAGACATGCCTTTTATCAAAAAGTAGATTTAGACATGTCGGATTAATGTATTCCTCTACTTTTTGACATTTAATGTTTGTTTTTTTTTTGGGTCAGGACCATTTAATGATTTTCTTAACAACCATTTAATGATTTAAGACTAACTTATCAACTAACATAATTGGGAAAAATGAAAAAAATATAAAGATTGATTAAAAAATAAAATAATAACTGAGTGTGGATTTGCTTTGGCAAGTCTATGTGTCGATGTTACACGGTGAAAGGAAACAGAACAACAACAACAAAAAAGAGCCATTGCTTTCTTCTTCTTCTTCATTCTCTCTTCCTCTCTCTCTCTCTCTCTTTTTTTTTTTTTTTTTTTTTTTATCGCGGAGAGAGATTTCCTTCAGCTTTTACTTCCGTTTATCCCTTCCAATTGAAAACCCTAGCAATCTCAGCTGATTCTTAGCTTAACTCTTTTCTCTTAATTTCTCTTTTATCTGTCAATCTCGTCGAGAAAAGTACGAAAACCCTAGAGCAAAAGCGACGGAAGAGGATTCTCTTTTATGTCCTCTTGTTCTCTCGATTCTGTGTGATTTCTAAAGCTTCTCTATAATCGAAACCTTGCGTTTGATTGTTTGATCATGGACAGATCCGATTCCAGGGATTTGTACAACTTTGTTCGCGCTACCTCAGGTCACTCCAACAATCTTTCTAGTTACTTCGTTCTTTATTTCTATTTAACCGAATCCTTAGGAAAAGTATTTTGTTTCCACCGAGCTAAAACAATATAAGATGTCGATGTCTTTAGTAAACCAAAGTTCTCGTTTAATAGCTATGTTGCTTCAATTTTTCTATAGCAAAGAATGAATAGAACTGAAGATTTAGTTACGATTAGAAAGAAACTTTTCTAGCTTTATCCATGGATCCTCTTGTTATACTTATTGAATTGTAAATAGTCATCCAATTCAAAAATTATGTTTCGGAATTTCATAATCCAAATTTACAATTGATTAGAGTCTTTGGATACAAATTACGAGAATCTATAATCTTCCTTGAATCCTTCATTGAAAGGTAAAGGACTAAATCCTTTTAAGAAATAAAGTTTTTGATCGGAAGATTTATTAATCAAACCGAGAGACCCTTTAACTATTAAAGGGGTTAAAAGAACGAATCACACTTTTACCACTAAACTATACCCGCTACAATGCAATTATTGTATATAAATTGACCTTTTGTCGAACAAAGTAATCGGGAGTGTAATAAAAAAATCTGACAAAAAATTCGCAAATTCTAGCGTGGGATTCCATTTTTGTTTTTTATTTCAGATCGTTTTTGTCTAAAACTTCATCGGATGACTCTTTTTAACTTTAGCAAAAAACAAAAAAAAAGGCCCGGCTGGGGACTGACCAGGCCAGGCTATTAAACTAAAAAAGATCTTTTATTTTATTATTTTACTTGTGTTTGGACGAGACAAAATAAAAAAAGGATTCGCTATTTCTATTATTGTGGTTTTATTTATTTCTCTTTCGAGTTCGAGCCTTTTCTTTATCTAATCGTTTTTTATGTAAATAGAATTACTGAGAAAGTTCTAGAAAAAATTATATATATATAATAGTCAAATTATATATAATAGTAATATATATATTAATAGATATAAATATATAAATAGCTTAGAAATATATTTATATATCTTATAAATATATTTATTTATATATATATAATAAAATATAGCTGAGAAATATATTTATATTTATATATAATAAAATATAGAAAATATAAAAAATAGATAATAAAGACTAATCTAAAAAAAAAAAGAAAGTTTTTTAAGAATAAAGTAGAGAAAGTATCCCTTTTCGATTAGGAGAGATGGCTGAGTGGACTAAAGCGTTGGATTGCTAATCCATTGTACGAGTTAATCGTACCGAGGGTTCGAATCCCTCTCTTTCCCTTTCTCCTTTTGATGATGTGTAATAGATAAAATCCTAATAAAATTCGAACATTTCCACTAATTAAATAAAGCAATAAAACAATAAAAAACCTTTCTTTTTTATTCTTCGCGTCCCGGATTACGTCCTGGATCATTAGATAGGAATCCAAATATGAAGAGAGAAATAAAGAATATAACTACAGTGTATACAAAAAGTTTGAGAGTAAGCATTACACAATCTCCAAGATCTTACTTTTTTTTTTTTTTTCAAAAAAAAAGAGAATAGATTCTCTATTTTTATACCAAATATCTTATTTTGATACCAATAAATCAAGTGATTTATTTTTTTCTAGAAAAAAATAAAAAAAAAAAAGGGGGGTTCAGAAAGTCATTTGTGATAATAGTCGAGTCTTTCATATTCAAACAGATTTGCATACCAACATCTAGATCTTTTTTTGGTGAACTCGAATCTAATTAGATTCTTTCATTTAGGGAAAAGAGGATAAAATTGAAGAAATAGAATGATCCAGGTTTGAATTCAGGGTTCGTTCATACGTCAAGATTTTTTTGAGCTATTGTTGGAAGAATAAAAATTGTGAATTTTTCTAAGACAGTATTAATAATTTCATCGAAAACTTACAGCTGCTTGCCAAACAAAGGCTAAGAGAAGAAAGAAAAGAGGTATTACGGGCATAACATCTACGATTGGATTCAAAAAGGCGTAGGCCTCCGGCAATTTGGCAACTAAAAAAGTGCTTGAAAAAAGGGCAGAATTCAAACAAATACAGATCAAATTAAATATATTAAGCATAAAAAAATTTGGTGTTCTTGTGGATAATTTCATTTTGATTGAGTTATTAATATATTTTTTATATAAGGAAAAAAATAAAGAAAGATAGTCTAAAAAGACTTTGTTGAACTTACTCAATCAAAAATTCTTTCATTCTCTTATGAGAATGAAAGAAATAATATTTTCATACAATATCTTAATTGAATTCTATGTAATGATCAATAAAGTAAGTTTGATTTGCTATCTACACGCGTAAAAACTCTAGCACCAATGTAATCTATATTTAATTCGGGCTGAAATTGAATTGACGAACAACCAATAGCAATATTACTCTTTTAGTAGTCTTGAATAAAAATCGAAATGGGGCGTAGCCAAGCGGTAAGGCAACGGGTTTTGGTCCCGCTATTCGGAGGTTCGAATCCTTCCGTCCCAGAGTACGGTCATTACGGAATCAATCTTCTATTGCCTTTGTACACCACCTTTCTCTTTCTATTTAAAAATCCAATTTTTTTTAAGAATAAACTATTGAAACGAAACGAAGAATCCACTTATTTTTCATTAATTCAAAAAAATAGATTTGCTTTTTTATTTTTGTGTGATGCGGGTAAGTAAGGTATAACCGTAGATTCTAAGTGGTAGAAAACAATGTGCGACTTGAATTGAAGGACATTATTTGCTGTGGATTTTTTGATCCGCCACTTTTTATATAGGAATATAGGTGCTCTTGGCTCGACATTTTGTGTTCTATTTTATTTACTAGAGTACAGGATGGAGCTGGAGGAAAATAGAAAGTTTTTTCCTTTCGCAGGAGTAAGGATCTAGGGTTAGTGCGAATCAATTAAGTTGGAACAGCTTCGTAAGTCTTTTTATTTTTATATTGAAAAAAAAAAAAAAGCCCTTCAAGTAATTTTACAATGGAAAAGGGGGAAAAGAAAATTTTCTTCAAATTGTCAAATTCTTTGAATCAAACGTCTATCATGCGTGAATCAAGCGTTTGTATGATTTTTTGATAGAAAGAAAAGAAATCATACAAAAAAATAAGGGGCTTTGTTGCTGCCCTTTTTTAATAAAACGATTCAAGATCGCCGAAGTCATGTCTAAACCCAAAGATTCAAAGTAAGGATAAAGAATCCTTAAACAAGGAAATCTGGTTTTCAATTGTTTGAACAATAGAGACTACTCAATAAAAAGAGTACTTCAGCATTCTTGGTTGAGATATTTGAGAGTTATTTAACTTGAGTTACGAGAGTACGAATGTTACGAATCCTTTTTATGGAAAAAAATATTTAAGGTTTTTATTAATCTATTTAATATTTGAATTTTATACAGAAAGCTAACTTCTACTCATTTCATTTTTTCTCGAGCCGTACGAGGCCAAAGCCTCTTAATACGTTTCTAGGGAGGGGTATTATTCATATACATCTATCCCAATGAGCCGTTTATCGAATCGTTGCAATTGATGTTCGATCCCGAAGAGAAGGAAGAGATCTTTGGAAAGTGGGTTTTTATGATCCGATAACTAATCAAACTTATTTAAATCTTCCTGCTATTCTCGATTTCCTAAAAAAAGGCGCTCAAGCAACAAGAACAGTTCATGATATTTCAAAAAAGGAACGGGTTTTTACGGAATTAAGTCTTAATAAAAACGAAATTGAATTAATGAAATATAAAAAAGAGGGTGTGAAAGATTCGTATATAGCTTGAGCTTGGTATCAAATTTTATCTACTCTTTTGTTTTCTCCTCTTTTGCTTCCATGATATTTTTCTATTTATTAGAATTTCGATTTATTAAGAGTATTCTTCATTAAGGTACGAATACTAAAAAATACCCTGCCAAGAACTACTATGTTTTATAATCATAAACAAATTTATTAAAAGAATTTTGGATCTATAGAAATTCAAATGCTAATGTATGGATAAATAAAAAAAATACTGTAACTGTATATAAATATAAAATAATATATTAATTAAGAAAAAAAAATATATATATATATTAAATATATTTTATATGAATAATTTATTCATACAAAATTGGTTAAAAAAAATATAAAAAGATTTAAGATTACCCTACCTGGCTTAGTTTTCAGTCATTGTATGAACTAACAAACCAAGGGGGTAAACTTATTTCTTTTTTTTTTTTTACTCTTTTCGCTATATGAAAAATTCACAATCATATTGACAACAGTGTATCGACCAAATATAATTCTCTCATAGAGAAATGGATCTATTTCTCCCTGACGCACACATGACTGGATTTTTTTTTTTCTGGTTGTATCTACATATTTGCAGTACTTTCTTTTTTTTTTTGGGGGGGGGGTTGCTAACTCAACGGTAGAGTACTCGGCTTTTAAGTGCGACTAGCATCTTTTACACATTTGTATGAAGAAAAGGATTCGTCCAGATCTGCGGTAGAGTTTGTAAGACCACGACTGATCCTGAAAGGAATGAATGGAAAAAATAGCATGTCGTATCAAGGGAGAATTCAGATAACATAACAGAAGTATTTTAAGCCTCTGGCAGAGAACCTTGGAAATAATCTTATATCCCACATTACAAAGACTAATTGGTCGTAACTCCGTCATTTTGGTCGGTCTTCCCGTTTTTGGAATAAGGCAGATGTGTGTCATATTCAATCTTTCATCCAGAGTACCCGCTGTGAGAAAATTGTTCACCAGCTCAAGGATATCATTTTTAATGATATGCCATGAGCGTTGGAAGAATAAAGCTGTCATGCCATCTGGTCTCGGTGCTTTCTCAGGGTGCACCTCTGCTTCAGTCGCTGGTCTAGTCAAAGCTGCATTATCATGTGATGTAACCCGTTGTGTCATGTGTTCAAGCACACTGGTAAAGTCAATCGGCATAATGGACGTAAACAGTGTATCAAAATAATTAACTGCAACTCTCTCCATCTCTTTTTCCCCAGCTACCCATACATTTGCATCATTATGAAGACCAACAATTCTATTAACTGCCCGCCGCTGCTTTGTTGAGGCATGAAAAAACTTAGTATTTAAATCCCCGTCTTTTAGCCACATATTTCTACTTTTCTGCTTCCAGTATGCCTCCTCATCTCTATATGCTTCCTTCAACTTATTAGTGATGTCAATAAGGTCTTCCTGGGTACTATTATCATCATCTTGTATTTTCTCTAGCGCCTTCTGTAATTCTGCTATTTTTTCCTTTCTATATGGCTGATTGTTTTTCCTCCAGACCGAGATCTCATGACGGCAATTATAAATTTTGTCCACCAAACCCGGTGCCACCTCGCCCCGAGTGCTGTTCCAGCCCCGATCAATAGACTCGAGTAAGCCCTCCAGACCAATCCATCGTTTATCAAACCGAAATTGTTTTCGCCTTTTGGTTACCTTGGAATCCAGAGTAGCCAAAATTGGCCTATGGTCAGAGCCAATGATTGGTAGATACTCAACATGTGAAACCGGAAATAGATCATGCCAATCTTCCGTTGCCAATGCTCTATCCAGCCGGCACCGCACTATCCTCCCTCGTCTCCGTCCCCTCCAAATGAAAGTGTATTTCCACGACTTGGAAAATCCACAAAACCACAGTCGCTTATCATCAAGTTGAAAGGAATAAAGGTGGATGCTTGACGTAGGGGTCCACCTTGTTTCTCATGATTTCTTGTGATCTCATTGAAATCCCCTATGAGGAACCAAGGGTCTGTCCTTGTTGTTCCAATCCGTGTAATCCTTTCCCAAACTAGATCCCGTAGCTTAACTACAGGGTCACCATATACAAAGGACATAAAAACCACCTTGCCTTCATAGCTAGCCTTAACATCAATGATCCTTTTATTGGAAAACTCGATCTTAACATCATACTCGTTATTATAGAACAATGCCAAACCTCCACTGGCGCCAATTGGTTCTACTGTAACCAACCTATCATACCCAAAATGGAACTGAAATTGTTGTACAAAAGCAAAATTCTGTTTTGTTTTGGAGAGAAAAAGAAATTCAGGTTTAAACTTCCCCCACATTTCTCGAAGATGATTAATCGTGAACTGATTCCCCAAACCTTGGCAATTCCAGCTAAGCACTCTCATTGTCCGAGTCGTGTTTGTCTCTGGTGGTTATGTTTCCGTTCATCCCCACCACACCTTGTCTCAGTTTTAGTATCCCTATTAACCAAGTCCTCTTTAAATACGACCATATTACTCTGTCACGCTTCCCCGACAAGATTTTATACCACCGCCTAAGAGAAAAACCCTTCGTATTTATGTCCCAATTTGTTCTCTCACCTCTCCTCCACCGACTCCAAGGTAATAAGATCATTCCGTAGCCACCCTTAATGACACAAACGAGAGGAAAATACCAGGCCATAATTCCCCGTAATCCTTTACACCCATGACGTGACTCTGTGAGACCCGTCCAGTATCTGTCAATCCACGGCAGCCACGACACGACCCTGTATGCCTCATCCCTCTTGTAATACCTCAACAAAGTTCTAGATAGATCTACCCCCTTTCTTTTATCATAGCACCAATCCTGACCCAAATTTGTCGTCCAAAAAACCGGGCCACGAAAACGATGAAAACGATGCAACCAACCGAGACCATACATTTGTCCTTGAAAAATCCAGTTATGATTATACAACTGTATTGTCAACCTGTGAGTAATCATTCGTCGTAAGCACACCAAATACCCAATTGTTTTCCCTAACAAAGTTTTCCAAGTATGATACATTGCTTTGGTACCTCTCTTATAAAAAACCTCAAACCACTGAGACAAAAACCTCAGAACAGGAATGAAAAACCCTGCTTTTTCAAACACAACTATTAGGAGAGGCACGCAGAAAATAACTCCTCCAAAACCAATACCCAACAGCCAAACCCTGTCCTGTTTTGCTATATGAGAGCCTACTCGTTTTTGCTCAAACAACCACTGTTTGACTAAAAGATATTCCTTGGGACCATCTATCTTAAAAAACTTTCGTGTTTGTAACAAATGAAAAGCCAATAAAGTCCAAACCATAACCATATTCTTATTATAATGAAACAGAGAATCATCGCACGGATTCTCCAGAGTTTTCATATTATAGCTTACAAACAAAGGAAAGAACTCCAAAGAAAAACCAAGACCGAGAGAATATGACAGAAAAACAAGGTGTATTCCGATGTATTATGTATTAATTGAATTATTAATTTTGATTTAATTAATTTGTATTTGTTTTTGCTGATGTTATACTCTAAGAGGGAGAGAGCAACTCTCTAATTATATATAAGATTTATTCATTTTGCAATTCTTTAGTTTTCAATTAAATGAAATCCACATAGTATTTAAGTTTTGTTTTTTTTTTCTGTGCAACTGTTTTGTTTATTACAGAATATTACATATGTTATTGATTTATCAGATGTTCATGGTCGAATACTAGTATAACTTATAAAATGTAAGATAATCTTCTTATTATATTTAATATAATTAATTTAAGAATGTCCAAGCACTAATTGAACTTTTGATGTTATGGAAAAGCCGTTATCAGTCTCAAGGAGCCACAAGCCCTTTTAATGCTTCTTCGCAAAAGGGGCATTGCACAAACTAGAGTTCTTATTTGTTTTTATTCGAACACTTATTTTACCGGACTAGGGATTAAAGCCCCGCGCAAGCGCGGAGTTGTTCGCGATAATTTTTCTGCTTGATTTTATTTATATTCATTGATTTGAAATTTTGAATTATGATGGTTATATGTTAACTTCCATGTTTTGGTTATATTTTGAGTTAACCCAACAATTAACACTAACAATATGATCAATTTTTTTTATTAAGATATTAACACCTTACTTCATCTCGAGTTTTCTATTTCTAAAATTTAATATGCATTTGACTCAACGTTAAAATTTGTAAACATGATGTAGAATCGCAATTGCACTCAAAATATGATGAAAAAGAAAAACATGTATAACTTCTTACATATATGCTTTATTGTGGTAGCATGTGAGAATTGATTATTTTCTATTATGTTAGTTTTGTATGAAATATAAATTGTATTTTTGAAACAAACATATCACCATTCTTAAAATTTTCATGCTTTTCGTTGCAATGAAATTTAAATAATAACTCGACTTCTATTTTTTAATAAAACAAACTCTAACTCTAATTTTTTATTAGCTTTTTACTATGTTAAATAATTTATAATGTACCTTTTTTACTTGTAAGCACATTATAACATTTTTAAATAGGATAAATCCTTTGAATTAAAACTTAACTATATACTATTTCAAGTTAAATATTTCTTTATTTCATCTCCATTTTATATTACAACTTTCTTTTAACTTTTAACATCAAGATATCACATACTTTATATTAATCAATTAAATTGTTTGTGTATTTTTCTTAGTTTTGTTTATGTGTAAAATAGGAATATATATAAATAAATATTAATACACATATATTAAATATCTTAAATACAATTAATGATTTTTTTGCTGATGTGGATGGCCTAGGAGGAGAGAGCAACTCTCCTATTATATATAAGATTTAAATCTAGATGCAACATACAAAACACTAGGTTACGTACAAATTTCAATATTCCATCCGTTTCAAATTAGTTGTCATTCTGGCAAAATGTATCTGGAATACATCCAAACAATTACACATACATTTTGCCAGAATGGCAACTAATTTAAAACGGAGGGAGTAAATGTTTTGTGTGTTCCCGTTCAAATTTAATATGTCGCTACAAAATAACGATTTTTAGATATGTGATATGAAGCAGTTATTAATGATAGCATGCTTAAATTAATTATGCACAATTTATGACAAACTTATGTAATATGAGTTAAACAAAGCCTGAAAATTTCAATTTTGAAGTTAGAAAAATGAATAATAGATTACGTCTCATCTAATCTTTAAAATATTATTGAGAATTATATTATCAAATAAAAAGAAATTTTAAGGATTATATCTCATGGACAGAACCTTTTCAAATATACACCACTTAAAAACTCTTTCAAAACTATAGCAAAAATCAGATGAGAATTGACAATTTTAACCTTACTCAATCTTACAAGTAATTTCGATTTTACATCGCCCAACCTTACCCGATTCATAGTCCGTCGTCTGCTCCGTCGTCGTAGAACATAGAGTCGAAGCTTATCTTATGTCGGAGTTCATCGTATGTTTAATCCCATCGACCGTCGGCCAGCCTTTACATCGTTTGAAATCACGATAAAAGGTGAGTTCGATAGTTTTAGTAGTTCATCGATCTTGGCTATTTCTCGTCAGTGGACACGACACGAGATACATGTTGTTTACTGAATTGAATCATGATTTCTTAGCACTACAAGAAAAACTTTGTATTCCAATGGACACATTCATTGATATTTTGTTGTAAATCACGATTTCCGACATGTTTCACACAAACATCATTTCGTTGGAATTTGATTATTGGAAATGTGCCTTTGTTTGAACGTCGTGGGAATCATTTCCGACAAATTTTATTTGTTGGTTATTCGTCAGAAGTTAATGACGAACTATTTGTTGGAAACTTGTTAATGATTACCATCAAAATTTCTAACCAAATTTCCCAACTAAACATTTGTAAGAAACTCGTAAGTACTTTCCATCGAATATACGATGAATATTTCTGACGAAATATTTGTAAGATTTTAGTTGGTATATTCCGTCGAATTTCCTACAATAGTTTCCGATGAAAATTTTGTTTTTTGCTTTGTAAGTATATTCTCTCAATGTTCCAACACTATTTTCTGACGTAAATATATTTCGAAGTTTCGTTGGTGCCTTCCGTCAAAGTCCCAACAACATTTTCCGACGTAACTAACATTGGTAGAATTTTTGTTGGTACATTCCATCGAAATTCTGACACTACTTTCCGAGTTTGTTGGATTTTGTTGAATGTTTCCATCAAAACTCTTACAAATTTTGATGAAATTCTCACAAAATTATCATTTGAAATATTTATTCTTACCCACAAATTCTAGATAAATTATTATTTAAAACCATAAATATAGAAATAGATATTAAAATAATTAAACATTTTATTATATAAAGATGGATGCGCACAACGTGGTTGCGACACTAGAATTTTTTATAAAATATAGGATTGCGACATGTGTCATTTTTAATGTTACGTCCGTTAAGATCGTGACACATGTCTTGGAAAAAAGGAAAAAAAAATTAAAGGGAAAATTTTAATCTTTTATAATAAAAACGAAAATTTATATAATAAATTAAAAATAATGTAATAAAAATACCTATTAGTACATGGAATAGGTATGTAAACAAAATATCCTAAAAATGTATGGAATATGTTACATAAACCCCTATTTTTAAAAATCCTATTAGTATATGGAATAGGTATGTAAACTAAATATCATAAAACGGAATGAAATTGGTTACATGAGCCCCCTATAAAAAGAGAGCTATTGTATTCTCTTTTTCTCATTCACAAACTCATCAAAACAAATTCAGCAAATCTCTTTGATTCTTTTTCTCTAATTTTAAAATCATGTCTTTGAGAGTTCAAGAGAACAGTGGAGACTATTTGACTCTAGGTCAATTGGATCGAAATCGAAATTATCGCCGTACTATTCTTATGGGAGTTGAGCTTCTATATCAATATAATAAGATGTTACTAACATTAAAGTTTTACTTTTGTTTGAAACAGGAAAATACAATTCAAGTTTTTGTTCATCATTCACTACTTCAAATTTTTTGAGATCAGATGGCCGAAAGAAGCATCATCGAAATTTGTAATTTTAATATGCAGTTTACTCATAAAAAAACTTCTATTACTTGATGAAAAGGTTGATAATATATTATATTGATATATACCTTATTAAGAAAAGGAGGAAAAATAACTCTCATTAAGAAAATAAAGAAATGAAAAAAAGGAAAAAAAAATTGTTACATCCATTACGAAAAAGAAAAATAAAATATATTTCAAATACGAAAAGGAAAAATGTATAAAATAAATTAAAAAACTAACAAAATAATTAGAAAACAACTAACTAATAATGGAAAGAAAATTTTATAATGGCCTAAGTCAAAAACAAAGCTGAAAAAAAATATAAATAGAAAACTAATAAAATAATTATTGAGCCACCAACTAATATTAACAGGAAAAAATTATAATGAAATGACATTCTAATTCTAATAGTCTGGTTTTTTTGTTAGGTAAAAAAATATTGGAAAAAGAGTACAAAAAAATTAAACTATTAGAATTAGAATATCAGTTCATCAACCGAAATCTCTTCAATGAAATAATAAAATTTTCACAAATTAATCAATCAATCAAACTTACACATGTGTAAGTCTTTCAATTTTAGATAAAAGTAAAAAGATAACAAATTAATTCATTTTTCGTATCATGAATTTAGAAAATATGTCAATTATAATAAAAATGTAAAAAGATTACCAATCTAATATTATTTAGAGGTCTTTTATCGGGGTTTTAATATTAATCTACTTACTTTTAAAGTGTCAAATTTATTTAATATTTTTCTATGATTTATTTCAAAAATTGTATAATAAACCCGCGTATACGCGGGGCCTAATCTAGTATTATAAAAACTCAAAACATTAATTAAAACTCCAATGTCGAC